TCAGCAGGAGCACAACTTGTCCAAAGCCGTGCCCTTCGAACAATCCCCCGCAAATGATTTTTGGACAAATTTTAACCTTAACCTCTAACAAGTCACATCTTTCACTGTTGTCTTTTAGAAAATGAAAAAGCCAAAATTCAAACACTAAGAATAACAATGATCTAATTGTTTCATTTATATACATAAATATTTGAATGGAAAGATCAATCCACTACCAATCTCTCCTTGTGTGTCCTCTTTTAAAAAAAAAAAAAAAGGTGGCTTGAATATTCTTTTGGTACAAAGCCAGTTTTTCTATCACACACAAGTGATCTGTGTGTGCAGTTACAAATCAGTGGCTATCAAAAAATCAGGCTGTGCAAAATTTCTTTTGGAAAATGTGTCACGCAAAGTTGGAGATTGGGTGTGAGATTAAAAAATACAAATGAAACAAAATAAGACTTCCCAGACATAAGAGATTATAAACTTGGGTAGCCAAAGTACAACCCATTTGAAAGCCAGCCAGATCGGATGGATTAAGTGGGCATATTTTAAGACATGCAATCCTGATGGATCATGACCTGCAAGCCAGATCTGTTTACAGCTACGGCCTGAACTCTTCATCACAGCTGGATGTGTCAGGCTTTTGAAAAATTGCTACTCAGGCCGCAGACTGAGTGGGCATGTTCGGGTGCCCATGTTATAAAGCTGCTAACATTAGAAATGTCCATGCTTCAGGCCAGGTATCTCTTGAAACACCTTATTAACCTTCTCTTGGAAATTGGAAGTTGAAAGCAGGTGGCCTTGTGGCAGAGAGAGAAATAAAGACAACAACTGCAAAACTGTGTTTTTTTTATTTTAAACATGCAAAATACAGTTCATGCATCTGCCATTTTGAAAAATCTCTCAGTTCGTAGCAGATTAAACCAAAGACATTTTGGCTATCGACTCTCAATAAATATTTCAAAATGCTTTACAGTGTAAAGATAAGAAATTTAGCAAAATTTCAACAAACCTGTATAAAAAACAGATACAGATAACTTTTTATTTCAAGGCGACATGCTGTAATGTAAAGAGAGTTCACTTTTTTTTTTCCTGGATTTTTTTTTCTCATAAAAAGTTTTCAACAATACAACCGCTTAACAGATTTAAGCCTTTAGGCTACACATGCAAAAAAAATGGTTATTTTAGTTAAAAATCACCAAAACGTGCTATTTTTTTTTGTTTGTTTCATTTTTAAGTACAGTAGTTGTAGACGGTAGCATTTTTCTTTTTTCATTTTGTAAAAGAGTGCAGGCAGGTTCATGGAGCTAGTGTCCTGGAAGACTCGTACTCTGACATACATTTTGGTTTTATCCCTTTGCCATTGTAATAGTCCACGACTTGGTTTGGAACTTCAGCCAAAACGCTTTTTGCTAGAGCAGCTGGGGATGCCTGCAGGAAATGGTAGAAAACACAAGTGTTAACCTGTCTCTCTGCTAGAAGTGCCATGGGTTTCAGAGGCACTGGTGCCATGAGATCAAGGTAGGAAGAATGGTACAGAAATGGGAGGCAAGAAAGAGTGAAAGTGAGCGGCGCTATTCTTGGAAACTCATTTTGTGAGTCAGTTTAGGCTTGTAGCTGTAGCTGCCTGAAAAGTACACTAAAGCCAAAAGTGCTCTGCCTGTTTTTCACGTCCATTTGGACTATTTTAAGTTCAGGGTAACTGAACTTCCCTGCACTCTGGGAGAGCACCGTATCGCAGGGAAAAGGGCCGCAAAGACTTCATTCATCAGTACTCGGCGAGGAACCCTGCAGAGCCTCAAGCTGAACATGAATGGACATCACTGTAAAAGGGAGGCCTTCATCACCACTCTGCTCTTCAGGATCTGGAACGGCGTTTTAATGGCTGGGGAAGTTTTTAGTTCAATAAAAAGCATTTTGTTTTCATTGGGATTAAATCATGGTCACGAGAAAGCTTCAGTTCTAGCCTTGTGGAGGCTTTAAAGCTCTTCCTGCAACATATAAATGGTGGGTGTCAACCAGACTGAAGAAGTGATGACCCTGGCACGTAGAGACGGATATAGAGATGGCCACTGGCTTTCGCCCCAGGCAGGGAGGAGGGCTACCCCTTGGTGCAATGAGAAACCATGCCCTCCTCCGTGGCCAACACACAGTCACTACCTCACACCCTGACAATGCTTCATTTTAAACAGGGGGGGCTGTGGATGTTTTGTGGGCAACCGTTACCTGCATGTACTGCAGGGATTTTCCTCAGCCCACAAATTAGGCAGTGACAAAAGTGGACTCCTGTTCTCCCATGTGGCTCAACAGCACCGTCCTGCTCTGTGTTTTGGACTTGCTTGTTTCTAAGTATTTGGGTAGAGCTGATTCTAAGCCCTCTGGAGGCAGTCTGCCCAACCATATTCCCTCTTGAGCCCACCACAGAAATACAGTCAAAATGCAAATGCTTAAATGTCAGTTTGAGAGGTTTAAACTAATGTCTTTATCTCCAGACAGAGCAGACATGGTTTACACATTGCAGCTCAGGCGATGCATGGGAACTCCTCGACCTGTGGCTGGGTCACATTTCTTCTGCACACCAAGTACTTTTTACCACACTAACAAACACTTCCCTCCTCACCTTCTGTAATATTATCAGCCAGTTTCAAAACTACCATGTCACAAAGTAGTTGTATCGATTGTTTATTGCCCTACTCTGTTTCATGGGGTGGGATCCTTATCCTTCCAGAGTCTTAAAATTAGGCTTACATAGGATGTAAATGGTAAACTCTACACAGGCAACCTAATCCAGGGGTATGATAAATTCCAGTATCAAATGTCACAATAATACAAATACGAAGATAATGCTAGCAAAACTAGAAACAAAACTGGTTTGTGTATTTTGGTACTTGGAGTCACATATGTCATTAGCAAGGAATAAAATGAACTGCTGTTTCCCTCCTGTGACATTTATACCAAAATATTTGTGCAGGCAAAAAAAGCCTGGTTACATTTCTGCATGAACAAACTGGCAAAGCAGAGCCCCTACTTTGTGTGGCAGCGCAGTGACTGTTCTCAGGTGTTACACAGTAACAGAACCCATTTCTTTTAATCCTTCAGAGTGAAATGCATGGCTTTCCACAGTTGCCCTGTTCTTGCCTCAACCTGTTTTGACTGAAATCAGCAGAAAATACCCCTTGGAGTCAGGCAAACGGCTGATTTCTATGCTGCTACTGAGAATTACTGTTTTTTTAATCTCCTTCCCAGTGTGCCAAAGCTGTATATACCTTAGCCTGCCCCTGTGCCATCTTATGAAAAATACAACCCTACATAAAGGGTAAAAACAGGGAGAGGGGGAACAGTTCTGGGCTATTGCTGCAAACATAAGCCCTAGCAATCAGGTAACTTCATTCTGCCCTATCTTTAAAAAAAACCCAGTTTTTTTGGTGGCACTTGCCACCAGGTCTCTGAATGACATGTAGTCCATGTGTCTGAACACTGGGCCAACGCTCATCTCGCTGCATCATCCTCCCATTGCCACTTCCCTCTCTCCCGATGCCTCGGCCCTTCTTCCTTCAGCCCCTCAGACCAGGCTCTGTCAGGGCTCAGGTGCACGGCTCCATCACCACCACCTGAGGAGTCAACTGAGCCCAGCATGCATGTGAAGTAAACAGCCTTTCACTGGGGTTTAAGCTAACATATTTACAGTGCCCCCAGGCTCACAGGTAGTGTGTGGCCCCACACAGAGTTGCCCTGGGGTAGCTGGCTTGACTCCGTGCTTCAGTCTGAACCTGGACAACTGTTCCTTTACAGAGTTTCATCATGCCGGTGATGTCTGTTGGTCCTGAGGCTCTTTCTAGCAGGGAGCATCCTGAAACCAGGGTTAGGGGTGATTTCCCGTCTGACGATTTGGGCTGCCTGTACCTTACGTACTTTTGTGGTGGTAAAGCACTCTCGCTTCTAGACCAGATGGTGCAAAGCAGCATTTGTATAAGTAAGAATCAGACCCAGTAACTTCTGAGCTGAAAAGCCAGCCCCAGTTCAGCAGTGCTGCGTAAGGCTTACCTTCGCTGGGTTTTTAACACAGATGGTACATTAATGTTTTACTGTGATGTTTTCTCCACTGTTTAACTGCTATGCTTAAAGAGCATCCTAGCAATAAACACCTCAAGATGAATAGTTCTCAACTGATGGCTACTGCGCAACAATCAGATCAGCCAGCAGCAGGAAAACAATTCCCTATGATGGTAATTGGTGTATATTACAAATGACTGTCAATTCAGTTCTATAGCTTCACCACGCTTAATCTTTAATTACAATACATTGCGCAAAACATTCCTCCTTGCAGTGCTTAAGCGCTGTGCTTTCTGCACTCATTTGTGATATATGTACTATCAAGTCACAGTTATTAGCCTTTATGATTAAATGCCATGCGGAGTAGGATACAATCTATCTGTGGCATCAGATTTGTGCACAGTAAATATATCATGCATCCTAAAGGCAGGCAATTTCAGCTCTCAAAATATGACTGTGAATGGATGGAGACAGGTGATTTTCTTCAACTACATTTCAGTGGTTGTGAGCATCACTGTTCTATAGTTCCAGGTGAAGGACACTCACATTGCCAGGGTGGTGATAATTACAGAGAGACAAAATTCACTTGGGTTCAGGCAAAATATTTTCCCTTTGTTTGCTATGTTCCCCTGTAGCAAATTGCACATCACCCATTATACAGTGGGACATTTTTTTAAACAGTAATGGTTACCTTGATTTTATTAAGCCTCTGCAACGACAGGATTTGCCAAGAATCACTACAATTATTAATATTATTTGTATAGCTTCAAAGATATTCCTTAAAGAGAGAGTCAAAAAGGTAAGATACTTTACTGAGGTACTCCTGATACACCACATCATGTAGGAAATTAAAACTCGATAAAAAAGCTTTTCTTCTACCTTGGGTCATGAGACAGTAAAACACTAAAGTGAGGTTTTAGGTATGTGAATAATTGCAACTAATAGGAATGTGTTAAATGCCTGTGTGAGTGCCATGCAGGATCAGAACCTTCTCTGAAGTCAAACTTATAAAATGGATTAACTCTATAGGTTATTTTTACAACTTCTTTCTCCCTCCTTTCAGTGTTCTCACAGGGGCAGCTTTTGGATATAATGTTTTTGATCTCTTTGGATAGATACGAGATTTTGATTTCGAGGCTGACCTGAGAATTGAAGTAATGAAAAAAAACCACTGTTTGGGTTGACTCCAAATGAATTTTGGTTTACTGTTCCAGCAAAATAAAAAATAATTGTTCACAAATAACATTTTCTTCCCTCCTTCTGTCAGTAGTAGGGGTAATATGGATTTAGGCATAAAAAAATACTTGATTTATCAGAAAAATCTATAAAAGTCACACAATGTTTTGTTGTCTTTCTAAAAAGACCCTTCAACTATTTTTTCTATTTAATAGTTGAACATCCTAAATACCAAAACTAAACACAAGGTATGTTTGACAAAAGGCACATGATTTTTTAACTAAATACATCTTTTACTTAAAGCTGTCAAATGTATATGCTGATTTATGGTAATTCTTGTGTGTGATCAGAACTGATCTGGGAAAAATCTCCCAAATGGGTTAAATCCGCCTTTTTCTGTGGGAAAAAGATAAGTTGGATTCAAAATATCACGCTCACTTTTACCATGAAAAATTATTTTACTAGTTGATGCAAAAGGCATGGTCTTTTGTTTGTGCTGAGTATAAGTAAGCAAGACAGCTGTGAATGTCACTTTGTGTAGAGAGAGGGAGTATTTGAGATATGACAATAAAGAAGTTTAACCAGAAGTGGCTGTTGTTATGGGCACTCATCCACTGCACTAAAATTTGTTGAAACGCTGAAAGATCACAACAAACAGACTAAATATCAAGCTGCATAAGATATATTGACTTTTCTGATCTAGCAAATACATCATATCTATATTATCTCTGCTACTGAGAGAAAGGGGGAGAAAAATATCACTGTTTAACAAGAGCAGTAAATTTTTAAGATTGCTATCCTCTCCCAGTACTGGGGAAGTTAATCTAAACCAGCTAAAAATAATACATGCTTGTCATTTGACCAATGCTAGCAATTAAAATCACACATAGAATCACTCACAAGTTAACACCAGAGGCACAATTTATTCAGTGCCCAGAACTGCAACTGTCAGTGTTAATCTATTCAATCAGGATGATTTCAACTTTGTTATAAAATCACAAAATGAAACTAAAAATAACAAATGCAGCTGGCTTTGCCAGTTCCTTGCAGAAACATATTTTCAACTAATTAAAAGTAGGTCTAGCACTAGCCCATAAATAACTTGCCTCTCGACACTTTTACAATAGACTACAGTGCAGCACAACACGTTGGTGATTATCCGATGAAGGAGAATCACAAGCTATGAGCAGGTCACCCCCGTACTTTGTTCCAGCAGATACTGAGTAGGTGACTGAGTGGCACCGTCAACACAGGAATGTATGTATCTACAATTCAGTGGCAAATCTGCAGTCATTTGGCGTGGTATCACCGAGCTAATAGCGCAAGGTGAGTTTTACACCGTATGAGGATCCATTCTTTACATAAAGGTGAAGAGAAAAGAGGAACACGTCTGTTTCTCTTACTCCTCATTAGAGTTTGTAAAAGTAAGAAGTGCATCTAGATCTCAAGACAAACATGGCAAAATTGTATCTGAAAGTGAGGAAAAAAAACCCCAGCTCCTGAGAACAGGAAAATAAAGTGAAGGTAACGGGGAAGTAGCAAAACAAAACAAAACAAATCTCCTGTGGTAACAAAAAGCCTAGAAAAACTAAAGGAATGTAAGCACTGCAAACGCCCATGCAGACCAAAACCAATCCAGAGTTGACAACTTCTGTGTGACTAATCCAGATCTAAGGATCACTAGTGAATGAGAGCAGATGGGAAAAGGCAATCTCGTGAGGAGAATGAGTTAGTTACGCTGTGCGGTAAAGAAATCTTCAAACTTCCTAGACACAGAGGTGAGCAAAAAAAAACACTCTGGAGAACCACTTAAATGTAACAGAAGGAATGAGGGAGAGGAAGGGAGGGAAAGATGGAAAAACAGAGGGAAAGGGATGTGATCAGCACTGCAGAGGGAAAAGGGCCCTGAAAAACCTGGCTGTGTGTGGGAAGGCTCCTTCTGTGGGTGAACACTGGCTCTACCCAGTTGCTGAAAAAGTCCAGGACAGATGCTGCAATGCAGGGCAGGTGACTGAGGAGAAAAGTATGTGGCCAAGGGATTATTTGAACTTTGGCAATTTAATGCTGGGTCTCTCCCTCTCCTACAGAATGTCTCCTATACCATGCTGGGCTCAGACAGGAACCGCTGGCTGAGGGCACAGGGAAGCTCTTAGTAACAGCACTTCCTTGGATTTGTTCTTGTACAGAATTCAGGTTAAGGGTTTGGAGGCCACCAGGATGCTGTGGGTGGATAGTCCTAGCTTTGAGAACTTAGGGACCTAAATTTCAATAAGGAAACAGGCTCCTAGGGAACACCATGAGTGCAAATCCACAGCCATTTCAGCTACCTGTGGAAATGAAGAGACAGAAAGCAGAATACAGTAGTCCTAATAGAACAGATGCAAAGAGAATGGAAAAGAGACACCAGGAAAAATAAGTCAGGGAGGGTGACCAAACTAAAATTTGATTCTGTGATTCATGATTCTATGATTCTAAAATCAGGGAGAAAATGGAAGGAAGGACTGGAACCACAAGAAGCACATGGATTCTGCCCCATCTCTTCTTTCCCCACCCTCGCCAACTCACTAAATGATCACATTTCATTCTGTATTCATTTTTTCTCCATTTCTGAGACAATAATGCCGTAGGTTTACTAAACACTTCATGCCCATCCAAAGTTATGCCCAGCCCCAGGGACCATTCATGATATGTTATATACAGTCACCCTTCTGCAGAATGGGTGGAAAAGTCAGCTTACGTGTTTGAAGTTCCTAAATGGCACAAACTGGACAATGTCTCGAAGCACAGGCTCGCCCTTGGGTGACCTCAGGATCCCATCATCGCCATCCAGCATCTGCATGTCACTAAAATCGGCGTTCCCCACCCCAACGATGATGACTGACATGGGAAGGTGAGAGGCATGGACAATGGCCTCTCTGGTGTCAGCCATGTCTGTGATGACGCCATCCGTCAGGATCAACAAGATGAAATATTGCTGAAGTTGTTGGACAAGAAGTGAAAAATCATATCATTAGTTTATCTTCCAAAGCTGCTTGCCTTTTTCTAGTATAAAAGTGTTTCTGGTAACTCACTCACAGACTTTTTTAAATAGAAAAGAGCCTTTATAGTGACTTAAAGATTAGGTGCGTTTCCCATCCAAACCTCCTCAGCTACTAATTTCCCCTCTTTTTGAGTTTAGCTGTAGTTTAGGTAATTCCCAGGCGCTGGACAGAGCCAAGGGATGCACAGTGTAGAAAAGGGGGTTTCTAGCTGCTAGGGCTGGGAGAGTCAGGACTTTGCCTGGGATGTCTGGAATAGTCCTGAGATCCTCACTAGCCATATTTTCCATCTGCCGCACAATCACTTCTGCTGACAGCTTCCGATTACATTTTTTTTCCCTTTGGGAACCAGTGGGAGGCAGGGAGGAATGGGGTACTGAAGCGTTACAAGCCTGTAGCAGAGCTGTCAGGGAGGTTATGACAGCACTTTTCAGAGGAGCTTTGCTTAACAGGCGAGTGGGATGGGTGCAGCCATCTGCAAGCTGGAGGGTGACCCACTGCTGCATGTGGGAGAAGCGCCGCACCATGGCAGGTCTACTGCATTCCGCAGAGTAAGGGGGTCCCTAAGGAGAGCAAAGGCATGTGCAGGGAGGAATATATCTATCTTCAAACACTTCACACAGGACCCTGAAGAGAGGTTTTCTCATTCTTTAAAGGAGAGCAAGCAATTTTGTGCGCTCGTCATTTCTTTCCCAAAACTCCAAGGCCCACTGAACTGGGATCGTGAGCTATGACATAGCTTCACTTGGTAATGGGGAAGAGTGACTCTCACTTGGATCCACTTAGGCAGCTGGAGTCATTTAACAAATGTGCATTAATAAGAGAAATGAACAGGCCATAGAATTTGCTCGCTCTTCACAAGCAATACCAACACACTAAACATCATTAAAGTTCATGTATATACAGCTATATAAACTCAAAGCATTCTGTTCATCACCTCCTGCCATGAATAAAACAAAACATGCAGGGAGAAACCTTTATCTTGAAGACTCATGCTGAGGTTTAGAAGAATGAAGCCACTTATTCAATATGACATACTAGTTCAGAGTGAGCCACCTCAGGATTAGGTGGGTATGGGAAGTCAAACATAGCGATTTCCCATTTTAGGACTGGGACCTTGATTACCTGGATAGTAATCAAGATCCTGGAAACAGCGGTGGAGTGCCAATCACAAGCCCAGACTCATGAACAGACTGAATGTTTGGGAGCTGCTGCCTTAATAGGACTTAAAAAAAGGCTCAGCACATGAAGAAAGCTTAGAGAAAGCTCCAGGCCTGGTGATGAGATGCATGCCAATGCACTGCTCTATTCTGCTCCTATACCTTGGCATTTTTCTTGCTGCAGTATACAGGTCCTCTCTTACATCCTTTACTCCCACAACACTGCTCTTGTAAATGTTTCAGACCTACTTGTTCACGTCTGCAATTCTCTTATTTTCCCTGTCTCCCATTCTGTCTGGAAGGCAGAAGAAAAATAAGCCTAATGCATTTCAAAGATGTACGTTTAAAATGCGATCTATGCTTAAGTCTTTTAGCCCAAGAAATCTGTCATGGTTTTTGTATCAGATGCGGGCTAACAGACTTGTCTCCTGATTTCTAAAAGGCACGTGTCAGTAACAGCAAATTGAAAACTGTGTCACTACAGTCTTCAAAGGAATGGTGGGAAAAATCCCCTAGTTGAGCAAAAAAGTTTTAGTGCAGCCTCTTCTCGAGACTTGAAATTGGGTAGTCTGGGTAGGGAAACGTTTTAGCTCATCTCCTTGTATGATCAACACTTTAGGGCTTGGGCTCTAGATTTTTGTAACCTTAGTGGTGCCATTTATGTTTCCACAGTGAAGAACTGGGTGTGTTACAGTAAAACAGCTCTAAAAGCAGGAAACAGAACAGTGGGGAAACAGTTTAAAGTTGTGACTATCAGAGCTATAAAGGCTAGATACGCTGCTCCAGCTGACGCAGAGCCAGGCTGCTTTCTGGGAAGGCAGTTAGCGAAAACTGTGAAGGCATGATCCACACACATGAAAGGCCTTGTTTTGATGGCCTACGAGAGATCCATCACAAGACAAGAAAAAAGCCAAACACAGCATTACGCCCTTACCGAGGCCTCCTTGGTATTGGTTTCCTCTGATGCCGATTTTGCCACCTTCTGGATGATGGGAGCAATGTTTGTTGGCCCATACAGCTGCAGCTTGGGAAGGCAGCTCTGATAAGCCTCCACAACACCTTGTATTCCTGCCATGAAAAGCCACACAAAAGGCAAATAAATGCGGAGCACATCACTTGTTTAAAATGTAAACAAAAGGCAGGTTCTTAAAGAATAAATTCAAAATACCATGATTAGCAAGGACTAACAACTTCATATAATTTCCGAGAAGCTGTCTCTAGCTGCCTTGAACCTAATTTGTCATATATAATTCATTATACCACGCTTCTCATTCCCAGCTGTTTTTAACATCTACTTTCCAGCTTTTGGCTTGCAAGGCAAGAGCTTCCATCCTTCTCAGTTCAAGGTGTAAGTGATCACTTCCTGATCACCAGCTGAGATTCATGCTAAAAGGGTAGACAGAAATTAAAAACACTTCAACACTTCTCTCTCCTCCTCTTCAGATAAATATTTATTTCTGTTTATCACGGTAGTTACCAACAGATTTGCCCTTTGTACTTACAACGTACAGCTGTCAAGGAATTCAAACATCTTTTCAAATACCTGACTCCCCTGTGCTAAGAAAATAATTTTTCAGGGTGAATTTGCATAATTGCTCACAGGTTGAATTTGGGTGTGAAAGCTGTGAAATCTTGGAAGAAACAGCAGGATGCTTTGCAGTCTACAGAAAAATGAGCGTTAGTCAAGAAGTTTTGATGGAGAACTAGCTATTTTTGGCTTTTTCATTTCAGGATATATAGCCAGACTGGGGAGAACAGATTTCTGCTGACACACTTGACAGATCACAGAATGGAAATTGGTGTTTTCAATCACCGAGAAGAAGGATTTCTTGAAGTGATGCACATTAGCCTCTGCATTCAGAACTCCCAGCTTACCAGACCTAAAGGATTAGAGGTCTAAAGTTGGAAAGAAAGTGATAGACTGAAGAGCTTTGTAAAGGATGCCGAAGAATGAAGTGACTTCAATCAGATCCTAAGCCAGTTTCAGTTTGCACTGAGACTCGCTCACTCACGAGGTTTTACACAACCATATTTACAGTATGTATGGGTACAGACCCGTTACTAACAAATCACAGGGAGTTGTAATTGCTTTACAAAGGTACACCTGAACCTCCTGTGAAAAAATGGTGGAGAACGCAGTCTTCTCTCTTAATAGATAGTTACGAACATGTTTTTCCATTGCAGTGCTCACAGACAAAGGAACACGCTCCAATTATCGCTATGATTGGCTAAAATGTAGAGTAATGTTACAAAATTTCCCTTGGTAATTCCAGTGACTAAATTACATATTGCAAAACTGACCTTTTGTTAACTCCCAATTTTAAACCTGCTGAGGATTTCATTACATATACTTAGTGATCTTGTATGAAGGCCTCATAAATCTTCCCTAAGATGATGACAAGACACACTGGAGGTTTTTTCTTATGCATTAAAATAGTATGAGATAAACCCTACTCCCTGTATTCCATACAGATTTAGCGTGGTTGGTGTCAGAAAGTTGCTTTCCTTTGAGAAATGTTAGAACATGTTCTAGAAACATAATTTCTTGTCCGCTATTTCAAATTAATATCTTTTAGAAATATCTACTGTCCTTATATATTCAATTCCAACTGGATATGTGAGTGGCTTGCTTTGTAGCTTACTTTTCTTGGACTCCTTTATTTTAGAGAGAGCCAATGTGCATTTTTCTTCACAGTTCAACTCTTGACATTTTAAATCCACTTTCAATAGCTCTGATGAAATACAGTATATGCATATATGTATGGGTTTAAGATGCATGTAAAATGCGTGCATGTGTAGAAGCATTCATTCAGATTAGAGGTTGTCACTTTCTTCCTCAGACAATGAAGACTAAATACTAAGTATAAGGCTATAGATATAACATACTATGAATAGACTAAGTGTAAGGCTATAGATACTAGTATTTTCAAGAATGGAAATGGTAATAGAGGAGGAAAGGTGAGGAAATCCATATTTTATGAATTCCAGTGGTCTTCATCTTCATACAGAGTCTTTATACAATGTAGCATAATGCTTCACACTACCTTGTGCCAGCAAAAGCTCACTACTTCCACAAAGAAAGGGATTTCATTCCCCAAAAGCAAACTAGACCCTTACTTTTTGTATTGGATCCAACCTCTGTCTCTTGGTTTAAAGCAAGATACTCTTCAGTAATTCTCCTTTGTTTTCTTGCAAGTATGCTAAATATTACAAGGAAAAATAGTGTGGTCACTAAGCACTTTCTCTCCCTCTTCCTCTCGCATCCTCTCTCCACAGGACACGCTGGTGTTACTGCTCTCTGGCTCACCTAATACAGTGAGAGCATCTAGAAAACAGCGCAGGACAATTGGCGGTAGGAACTAATCAAGCATCTGTGACAGGCAGGTGATGAGCAAGCTGCAGCAGAAGATTAAACAACACGTCTTCTGATCTGTCTCCTTTTCTCGCTTTCATCCAGATGGATATTATTTTAAATGGTATCATTTAGGACAAAGAAGTGCTTTTTATATCTCATAGATACATGTGCGAGTGCTGCAAAATTTCTTCCCTGGCCTTCTTTCGTGCTGCAACCACCTTTTTATGTCGCCTTAGCCCTAAAACTCCTTTTAGGTGGTGGGTTAACTGAGATAACTGAGTCTTGTGCAAAGAACTAAATAAAGTTTAAATACATAAGAAATATTAAGTGACATAAACCAACAGAAAGCTCATAGAGCAGCTCCTTCCTTTTTTTTTTAACCTCCTCTCATTTCCATTGTTACATTTTACTTTGTGTACATAGTACAGTATGGATCATAAGTTCTGTACTTGCAGAGGTATTTGTCTGTCCAACCTCTGACCTGCTGCTGGCACTATAGCGATGAGACAGCCTTTTCAAGTACTGGTCAATCAATACAAATCATGATGTAACAGTGTCAGTGTGAGAAAAGAATTAGCCTTGGGCTCAAAAGAGGCAGCAAAGAGAGGGTAAAAAAATGTGTTCTTTGCATAGAGTGCTAGGGTGTTTTTGTGTGTTTTTTTTCCTGAGGTATGCAGGTCAGAAATGTCCTGCATTTAGACTGGGAAACAAAGCTATATTTGAACACTACATGCAATATGTTATCATCTAATACCGACCATTGTTAACTGAGATGTTTTAAATGGATCAGGCCTTGTGCGGACGCCAATGTGTTTGTGTTCAGAAGCAGGCAAGCTAACTACATTTTAAAATACGGTGGTCCAGACAAAATTCTGAGGTCTGTTTTGCTCTCAGTGTGAACTAAAATCTCAACTTCAAGCTGGCTCACAACCTTATAGGCACATTTGGATGCACAGATGTAATTTCAGCTTCCTTTAACTCCATAAAAGCAATGTAAAGAGCTGTGTGAGCTCATCAAGCAGCTGTAGGACTTATGCCCAATTACATTTCAAGCATATGACCTGCAGAGGCTGGGGCAGTCCAACAATCCAAGCGCAACA